AAAGAAAAAAAAAAAACAGGCCCACCTTTTCTCCTTCGGCTACACAAGGAGAAAAAAAAAGACGAGTGCATCGAATTCTTCATTAGGACGACAAGAAGACCCTCTCTTTTACAGATAAACGCCTAGGCTTAACTATGCAAGTACAAGAACCAGCCCGGTGACATGGTGGGCCCTAGTTAATTTTGTCCTGGAATATATACAGATTGTTGGTGGCCGCCACGGCGATGACGTTCTCCTTGGGGTGCCAGGCCGTGTGCAGGATCTTCTTGTTGAAGTCCAGGCTGTCGACGCTGATCTCGTCCTTCTTCCTCTTGCCGCCGGTACACACCTTGCGGGGCTTGAGGACGGCCCGCGGTTTACTGCTCTCCCTGGATGCTTCCAGCGTGACGTCCTTCCTGGTGTTCCTGTCGAACATCCTGAAGAAGTTGTTGTAGGAGCCGGTCATGATGGCTCTGCGGGCAGGGAGACGGGCCAGATGGTCAGGCAGACTCAGAAGGGGGCGTCCGAACGTGGCACAACTGCGAGGTACGAACTACACAAAATGCCTGCGTGTATGACCGCTTCATACGGCACTGAGAGCTACTTTGAATTTTAAACCCCCCCGACACAAGTATTACTCGACTTACCCATCTGAACCATTCCAGCAGCACTCAAATTTGTCAAAAATGCAGTCATTTTCATACAGTGAGCATAACTTGCTACGGAGGTATTCGTGTACCTGGAAGCAGAGTGACAAAAAAGCCATCGTGAGAGCCTTGCACTTAAATGTCCAAAGGAAAACCAAAAAGCACAACTGGAACGATGTTCAGTGTCCAGTCACAGGGAACTGACCCCACTTTCAGATGGCCAGCAGCCTGGGGGGCATAGGGGCGGCAACAGATGCTTCATGGTATATTCAACAAAATAGGGCTGAAGACAAACTAAGACCCCCACAGTACTTATTCTGCTTTCAAACCATTTTCTTACTTTCGGCTTTCCTTATTGTGCAGTGTCCAGTGGAAAATGCAAAAATGAAAACCTCTTAGAATGCGTAAACAAGCTGATCCCTACCTTTTAGCAACTAATAAGAAAAATAAAACCAGAATATCCTTAATGTACAAGACTGAAAAAGACCTCTATTTACTCCTTTTTATGCATGTACATTCACAATAAAGCCCTTTCTTTTTCTCTTGCATTTTGTTCCTTATTCCGCAGGATCCAGTGCAAAATGCAAAGCAAACCTGAGATTATGCCTATTGCCCCCTCTGGCGTTAACATTAATGAATGATCCTGAGCCCCAGTGCACTGTTACGCCCCCAGTGGCAGTGGACCTTAGGGCCGGCAGTGAAGCGGTACCTGGTACGTTTCTACGGGCCTGTTCTCCATGTTGAGGTCCCACACCTTGACCGACAGATAGTCCCGAGTCATCATGTAACGGCCACTATGGCTGAACTTGACGTCGGATATCGAGGAGATGATTTCGGAGAAGAAGGACCTGCTGCTAGGGTCTTCAGGCTCCTCAAAGACTGGAAGAGGGTCAGATTGGGGAAGGGGGGGGGTGGGATGCGTTACAGAGCTGACGGGTGGCGTGGAAAAAGGACAACAGACATCTAGAATCACCGACCGCGAGATGAAGAAACAGCAATGATCTCTAAAGACACTACAAAAGGATGAATGTTATTCATTACACTGACAAGGAGCCTAAATTTAAGGAGCATCAGTGCTGCTTAGCATGATATTTTAGCTGCACAACATGCATCTACAGCAGATTAGTGTTACAGGACCTAACAAGGCTTATAGTGTCAGATAAACACACAGAAGCCCTAAAATAAAGGTGCCTCCACAAGAGGAGAACAGCAGAGTCCCCATCATGGACACCGACGAAGGACACAGCCTGTGAAAATGGTCACCAGGGCTAGGAGAAGGTGCTCACACTTGGTATGCCTGTCGCACAGGGCTGCCGCCCGCATGTCACACAGCCGGATGGTGCCCTTGCTGCTGCTGTACACGAAAACGTTGCACTGGTGCGGGTGGCACTCTGCAGCCGTGATGACCTCCGTCAGCTCCTCCATGTTGGCCGGCTTGATGTCTACAATGTCTGAGGTCACATGATCAAGGAGGACCAACCAGAAACGGGCACCGGTCATAAAACAGGGACGACTGTCGTTCTTACTCTTATCCGACATGCTCGCCGTCCCGATTCCCATGGAAACGGCCAAGATCTCAGAGGAAAAGGATACTAAAACTCCTGTCTGTGATTTCTAAGTGCCAAAGGTTTATTCTTAGGTCGTCAGCAGAAAGGTAAGTTTCGTGATCGCTATTTACTGAAATGGAATTAATGTGATATGTGTGTGCGTTTGCGAATATCCTCCGAGGGCTGGCCTCCACCATCAGGTCCATTGGCATCAGCACCGGTACCTAGAAGCAGCACAAGGTTACCGAGGGCAGCCTGCAGGCACTCCGTCTTCCTGACTAAGCTCAGCGGCATCTCTGAGGTCCTCGAGCGTGCTACTGAAGTAATTACCTGGATAGCAACTGGCTTTTCAGGGGAAAAAAAGAGGCACTAATTTGACACAAATCTAGCTGATCGTGAAAAAGACCCCACAACTATTTGATTATACGAGATGCTTCTTAAGAGGTTGTTTTTTCAGACTGACAGAGGGGGTAACAGGGCCGGATAAGAATTTTAACGTGAAACGAACCCGTAGTGACGTGATTCTAAAGGGGTCTCGGAGTCTGCCGTCTTCATCCTTCAGGTTGTAGCCCTCCGCCCTTTTGTCCCTTTCGCTGATTTTCCATAGCTTAATAGTTTTATCTGCGAGACACAGGGACCGTTTCCGGCGTCAGGTTCAAACTGTGGAGGGGGCATTTCTGCACAGGAACGGCGGAGACACGCGCAGGCGGAAGAGACTCTTACCGTTTGTAGAAAGCAGGAAGTGAGCAGCATTTTGCTGGGGTAACCACCTAATTTTGTTAATTTTTTCCTCGATTTCTAAGCTTTTCAAATAGTCGAACTCCGGCTCGTGACTCTGAAAAGTGCTGTAGACATTATATTCTCCTCTGGAATGAGGCCGGTTTTTACTCTGGGAAAATTAAAGGAAAAAGCCAACATTTATGACCAGTGTTAAAACACGTGCAATATGGCGTGTGTCGACCCCCCTGCTGGTATCTGACCATCTCACCTCTTGTTCTCGCTGAAATATGACAACTCTGCCCCCTTTGTCTCCCGTGGCTAGCAGCTCTCCAGAGTAGTTGAACTCAACCGTTGAAATGATGTCCGCTGAAATAAAGCGAGTTTTCACAAATTACAATTAAAAACAAACCACCACAAACACACAATGCAATTTAAAGACACCGATTCAGCCACATGTCTTCATAGTGAACTGCTGCTTTCAGGAAAAACAGGCCACTCACACATATCTAAGCCAGAAATCGAACCCACAGACCTGGGGGTTTGAGGCTACAAGTGCTACCACCCCAACCAGCTCTGGACCCCCTAACTCACATACATTTATTGCACAAACAAACCAAAACCAAAGAAAAACTAGCATCCTTCCCACCCTGTTTGCGCTGCACCAACTGTGCCCAGATATTCATTTTATTTATCTGTCCCTGACACCTTTCCACCGACACGCAGCCTCGCATTCCACCCGAAACACGGCGCTGTGTTTACAGCATGAAGGAGCCGGTCATTGGTCGGCGAAGAAAAACAATTTTTCCCTTCCTCACACCGCCACGGGCTGCCAGTGCCTCCCCGCCGCACGGCGAAGCGCCGCGGGGGAAACGGAGACGGCTGTGACTCATTCCGACGTCACTGGATCTTTCAGGCAGGTAGATGGGCGACTCTCAGGTGAGTCATTAGAAAATAATGCACAATTAAAATGTAGGAAACATAACAGGACCTCGGAACATAAACTTAATGTTGAGACGGAGGTCCAGCCACAAAACGAGACGTGCGACGTCCCAGCTTGTCACTGCATGTGCATTTCCCCGCCAGGGTCCTGCTCGCAGAGCACAGTGAAGGCTCCCAGTGATGCAACACCAACTGGCTGCAACGGTTCATATCAAAACCACAAAGAATCCCGCACATCTCCTCACTAACAATTACAAGTTTAAGGACAGCATGACGCGGATAAACCCGATCCTTTACCACCAGCATTGTGGTCTAACAGGCAAATATACAAGATGATTAGCACCATTTAAACCAACGTGTTATTTCAAGTCAAGCTAAAAAAAAAACTATGTAAAGAGAAAGTCTAGCCACGTATTTAATATTCGCAGATAGTTACAGAAACACTGCCAAAAAACCCCTCAACACTATCCTAAGAGATCTTGTTCTTCTCACAGTCTTATAAAAAAACAGCGATACGAAAATTGTCATTCAGCAAATTATCTGCTTTCCAGGATAGTTTGTTTCCCCCCTTTGAGCTTCTCCTTACTGTCAGACGTCCTGTCACTGAGGCCAGGAATAACGCGACACTCATCGCGGCGTCGCTGCTGAAAGGAGATTAGCTGAAGGACGAACGGGGGGGGACAAACCAGTGGGGGACAGAGTACAGTGTTCGAGCATCCCAGATGCACAGAGAAACAATATCCCCTTCAATCTGTCACTCGCTCATCAACAGCAACACACAGCTTTACATGCCAGAGGTGCCAAAATATTACCGTGCTTTGGTATAACATGAAGCCAACCACCTGACTGGATGACATTCAGTTGGGTGTCGAAGGACACAGAGCGGACAGGTGATTTACTGCTGAAATTCTCCTTTATGTATCTCAGAGACGAGTCAATCGGACATCTTCTGCAGAGCTGCCTAGCAGACAACTCTGCATAGTTTTGTGATTTAACTGGACAAAAATGACCACAATCACACAAAAAAAACCAAACAAAAACAAAGAGATGATTACTTAGACATTACGAGACAAGAGAAAAAAAAAACAAACAAAAATATCACGTGAAACACAGAACAGACCATCCTAACAGGGGGGATAAATCTGTCCTGAATATAAACTGCGACTGTAGAGCGAAACACACAGACACTGACACACGCCCTCGGATGCAGAGCCGTGACCACATTACTGAACACGCCTGTGACAAAGGACCAGCGATGAGCACAACAACAAATCAGTGTGGGGGGCTGGGGGCGTAAGGGGGGGCAGCGTCGTACCTTGGTTGAAGGACGCAGCGGACATCAGTGTGGTGGACGGAGGGGCGGAGGTTCTAAACGCCGGCGAGGAGCCGCGGGGGACACATGGCACCGTCGGCGGGAGACAAGCTTGGGGGACACTACCATCCCCCCCCTCCCCTGCTGCCGTTACCCCGTACCCGCAGATCGACAACGATGCATACCGCCGGCTCTCTCTCGGCAAACGGAACCGACGAAACGGACCCTGAAGCAGGCGGCTTCAGCACGGCGACAGCCGGAGGACAGCGATGCAGCTGCGTGTGTGGGAGCAGCTCTCCGCGGGCCGGCCGCGAAACACCAGCTTTAAGCCGCCCGTCTCAGCACAGGCCAATCAGAGAGCGGCTGGCCTTACCCCGTCCAATCACGAGGGCCCCTTTAGATCACAGGTAATTGTGAGCCATCTGTGTCACTGCTGCTCCCCCCCCAAAAAATACCCCCCCGACGCACGTTCATTTGTAGTTAAACGGGGGAAAAGCCCCATTCTGACCCTAAATCTACATCTCGCAGACCGGAATCCTGCATGATCACAACCTCAAGCTTAAGAGCTACAAAATTCATGTTACATTCAATCAAAATGACACTAAGAAGCACATTACCAGGGACGTGCGTTTCTCATTTTTACATCTGAATACACAAGTCATTTAGACATCAATGAATTTAGTTACATTTCTATGCATGACGTTGGCTCAGCACACTCAAGTACAATGACTATGAGATGCCATAAACAGAGTCTGATATTACACATTACTGTCATTTCCAGAATGGCAATGCTTTTATTATTTAATAAAAAAAAAATCACTACAAAATAAAAGCCTTTCACGTTATTCAACGACCCGGTTACACTAAGGTATATAATTATGTAAATGAACTGACTTGTTTTATGAAGAGGCAGCTGGTCACAGCGCTGCTGCAAAGGCACAGAGCGAATCGCAGCATCGCCCGCTGGCACATCTTTGATGACTGACCTTTGGAGGTTCCGCCCCCCTCTGCCCCCTCCACCACCACCCACACTGCACAGCGTTGACTCACAACCACAGTGACGTTCACCGCCTGAGAAGCTCTGACTTAAATTCCATGTATCCACTTTGCAGTGGTACCTCCAGTGAATCGACACTGGCATGTGGCTCCATCAGCAAGAACCTCCCATGGATGTACACAAGCGCAGCTGTCACCAGATTATGACAAGACAGTGTTCCCTGAGATGACAATGACAGACCAGGAGGACGGAGACACTACCAACAAGCTTCACATTCGCACAACCAGTGGACATGTGACCTCAAAGGACATGTGTGGTCACAGGTCATCACTCTACTGCCATTTGGTCTGAAGAACATCTCTAAGAGGGGTATCAGTTTCAACATGCACATTAGAATCCCAGACAGGTGAACTGCGGTACACCTATACTCCCATTAGAAGAGAAACTTAGATTTTTTTAAGCTTAATAAAAACAATGAGCAATTCAGAAAGTGAACTACACAGGAAATCCACAAAGAGCCCACCTGTTCATTCATGACTGTAAACATCACCCATCTGAACCATGGCTACTGAACAGACACAAACTGCAACATCTTTCTGAAATATCTTGACCTATCAAAAATCTGCCACGGGCATCCTGAAACCCCATCCAAATGCTTTCCCAAAAATAACTGCAGTTTTTAAGTGAACACTTGTAATTCCAATTCTAAAGTCTTATTAATCTCACTTTTGGCACATACTAAACACATAGACTTCATTTCTCACACACTTAACCTCTTTCGAACGTAGACAATAATGTTTTGTCACACCCTTCCCTTCTGGATAATGACATAACATCACCATCCTTTATGAAGTTATTAATTATCTTCTTTAATAATATGCATCCAAATTTGGGATCTTCAAGTGCATCATTTATATAAAGGAGAACATTACAGTTACACATACATCTTGTCCACAATACTCGAGCACAGTGAAATCACTCGAAGTAAAAATGACTGAACTCATCACTTCAGCTATTAAACTGATATTAACGTACTACTTATTTTTTTTTTTACCAATCAGTTGCATTGCCTGGTAGAAAAGAAATTGCATGTACTACAAACCAACGCCATGCGGCGAAAATCATGCAGCGAAGACTCATTAGTTAATACTGGAAATCCTGTCCATTGAAACGCGGCCATGAATCTACATGCCATAAAAACCGCAGACAGAAGGCAGCGGAGCCCATCGCTGTACGTTTCCAATGAAACAGTCATCCATCAAATGATCATCCCAATTACTGGGGAATAATAGTACTCGCCAAACAGGAAACCGCCGTTCGGTGTGGGAGATTAACGCTCAAAAACCTATTATAAGATTTAAAAGCGTGCACGATGATGCTGAGACCGACGCGGTCTTTAGACGTCACCGTCAGCGGCGAAGCCTTTAGACGTCACTCCAGGGGACTCGATTCGTTTCACAACAGCCTTATTTAAACACCGGGACACTGTAACTTCAACCTTAACACCCATTTAACGAAGATGCACAAGCACACCAAAAATAAAAAAAAGATATAAAGAGTCCAAATGACCGTGCCACCCAGTGGGGCTCACTTAGACCCTGGGGCCTGCGAGCAGCAGGCAGCCAGGGAGCTAACCCAGCGCTAATGGGGACTGAGCCGTGAGGCGCTCCAGTCAAGCCGCACGGCTGCCCGGCACCATCGCCACGGCACTGACACTGTCAAATGTGACTGTCGTGCACGGGAGAAAACGCAAATTAAACAACAATAATAAAACTTACCTTCTGCCACATCTTCGTCTATAGCTCCTTTCACTTGGGAAAAACACCACTGGAAGTCGTTCCCTCCTCCGACACCTACAAGACACGGTGCGAGCGCGATTAGTACGTTTCAGGCTGCACGTCCGATCGCGGCGCCGCACGTCGCATCTCCCCACGGCTCCCGGCACCAGCCTGCGAGCGGGAGCGAGCGCACGGCTCGCGGTGTGTAACTAGCGGTGTGTAACCAGCTAACTAGGCCGCGCTCCGGAGTGGCGCTAAACAGAGGGCCCCCGCCTATAAAGTTCACTGCCTTACCTGCCATCGCTTATTTTCTCCCGCAGCAGACCTGGCGTCACCGTCGGCCTCTCCTAAGTTTATGTGAGCGACGTCCTTCGCGCCGAAGAGCGACCGATCGGGACAGGAAAAGTGGTCGAAAGAGCGGAGAATCAGAGCCACCAGGCTTGCCCGTGATTTTTTTTCCTCTTTCCAAAATGGCGTACACTGCCAGTCGACATGACACGGTGACGTCATTTAATAGACAGTCTTGAAAAGGGCCGCTTCTTCGCGAGCGAGCACGCGCTTGCCCGCCGTGTGTGTGTCTGTCTGTCTGTCTGTCTGTCTGTCTGTCTGTCTGTCAACCATTGGGTTCTAGCTATTGGACAATGTAGTTTTTCATTTCTAAAACATACCATTAAAAAAAAGTCATCACATGTGTAAATCCGATCCACAGCAAATCCATTAACACGCATACAACCTAATTACCAAACGAATATTTCCCGTTTTTTACCAAGTGTAAATGTATTAAAATGCATTTAGTTTGGTGAGGTAGAAGGCATTCGGGTGACGCTCCAGGCGCGATGCATTTCAAACGAGAGCGTCTGATGCTCTGTCGGTCTCTTGCGGAATCTTGTGGCCGGGCCTGGAAATTCAGCTCGCCCATTTGCTTGAGGCGAGTACAAAAAAACAACTGAACACTAGCCCCCTGGCTAGTAAAAAAAAATAAATGCATGTAGGGCTGTCAAAGTTAACGCGTTAGCGTTAATTTTTATGACGTGAAGCATTATAATTTCTTTGCGGCCCATCATGTATTCATTTTGATAGGCCTATCCCAATGGGAGTATAGTATGAGCAAAGAGACCAGTATTGGCAAGCTAGATAGAAAATAAATTGTAAGGGGTCAGTAAATGTAATGCATCGCTGAAGCTTCTTAATGTATACTTACAAAAAGTGGATATGAGAACATTTTTGATTAATTGGATGACGGGTACATAGAGGACACCTCGTAGATGCATTAGACAGCATTACCAGCACTTGAGGAAGTTTGACAGGGGTCGCATTGCGGGTTTGCGTGAGGCCGGGTGGTCGTATCGTGCAATTGCCCGGCGCGTGGGGCATGCAGGTGTCACAGTCACCTGATGTTGGAACCAATGGGCACATGAGGGCACCCACACGTGAAGGTTTCACTCACCCAAGACAGACCACAACAAGGGAAGATCCTCGTATTGTGCACCAAGCATTACAGAACCCAATGACATCTGCACTTGCCATCTGGAGACAGGTTTTAGACTCTCTACAATACCTAATGTCATCCCGCTCCATGTGTCGGCGACATGCATCTGCCAGACTATGGGTTCACCGTCCCATGCGTAGGTTGCCGGTGACACCAGAGCAGAGACGACGTTTGGAGTGGTGCCGTAACTGGGAGCCATGGACTGATGATGAGTGGCATTGTTCCATGTTCAGCAATGAAGCTTTGTTCTGCATTACTGCGGATGACTGTTGTGTGCGTATGGCTGTGCCGAGGGGAGAGGACCAACCCTGCCGATGTGGAGAGACACACCGGTGTTACTCCTGGCATCATGGTGTGTGGAGCCATAGGGTCTGACATCATGGTGTGGGGAGCCATAGGGTATGACATCATGGTGTGTGGAGCCATAGGGTATGACATCATGGTGTGGGGAACCATAGGTTATGACATCATGCTGTGGGGAACCATAGGGTCTGACATCGTGGTGTGGGGAACCATAGGTTATGACATCATGCTGTGGGGAACCATAGGGTCTGACATCGTGGTGTGGGGAACCATAGGGTATGACTTCAGGTTCTCTCTGGTAGTGATTTGGGGGACCCTGATAGCACAGCGCTACGTCAGTGACATCCTGTGTCCCCCTCCTGAGACAGCACCCTGGTACAGTCTTCCAACAAGACAAATGCCCATTCACACATAGCACATGTGTCTATGGACTGCCTGCGTCATGTTGAGGTCCTCCTGTGGCCAGCCAGGTTCACGGATCTTTCCCTTGAATTTCCGCATGTACCCAGGCCCGGAGCGGGCGGGGGGGTGACATGGGACCAGCAGTGTGCCCATACTGCCAACTCTGTTGTCCGTTTGACCTGATGTAAAAATCATTATGATACAGTCACAAGACCTTTCACCACGTGCAGATTCACTTCATTTCCACTACTCTGTACTCTGTACTTGGTGCTTGACTTTTTTTGTCACTGTGCGTGTTACTATATCTGCTAATTCTGTAAACCTTTGCGAGCTATTGAAGGAACCACTGAAGGAAGTACTGTAGGAACAAATAATGAATAACACGTAAAATATTGAACTTATGTTTGTTCTTCGTTAATGAATTGTAACGCATGATTTATCCCAGGCAGTTACTATAGTCTATTTAATTCTGTAAACCTTCATGAACTAAAGGAATTATTAATGAATAACATGAGTGAAATACTGATCTCATGTTTGTTTATCATTAATTAATCATGACACATCTTCCATCATAGGTAGCGACTATATTTGTTCATGATTTGTACTCAGTAGTAACTGAGTTACTAGCAAGTATTTGTGTCCCCTCCAGTAGTGTTACCATGAAAATTACAGTGTACACTGTGAACTGGTGAAATTATATCTAGGCCAGTACAATTTTTTAATTAAACTATTAGCAAACATTCTAAAGTTTCACCCCTGCATACAAAAAAACATTTTACACAATGCTTGACTTATCAAAGACGAGTCACCTACTCATATTGTGCATGCTGCCAACATCGACTGAGAGGAGTCTGCTTACTGTACAGGCAAATCGCAGTTTGTTTTTTGTGTCAGTCTTGGAAATAATTCCTAGAGTTAACACCAGCATGTTCACATTGAGATGCTGAGTTTGCACATTTTTGTGTGGCATTGCTGAAGCCGGAATCAGATGTGTGCTCACTCAAAGCCATCTGACTGATAATACTGTATATTACAACACCACTTCTTCCTCTTCGTCTGAGAAGGCGCAGAATTTGCAACCGCCGACGCCCCTGCCTAAGTTCTGAATTACACATTATATATAATTCCTGCCTTTAACATATATTACGGTTTTATATCATTGCATTTTTGTTATGGGTGACCAAACTGGAAAAGCACAATACCTAACTCAGGATCCCATTTTTAATGTATTTTATTAGACAGATTCTACAACTTACATAAATACGGCCGTCTTTGGTTAACACGCTAAACAACTTGTGACTTAAAAGAAAACCTGGTGTTACTCAGGCCCCTAATTCCACTCCACTTTATCATTCATTGTAAAAAAATTAATAGCACTGATTTTGCCATAGTTACCTGTTTGACTCGTTTTAATTAAATAAATGCATATTTTACGTTAAAACGTAAAAACCATGCTTCAGGCTACAATATGCGCAGAGACCCATTTCATAATTTTAATACTTTCATGCTGCCTTAAAAACAGAAAGCTTGTGTTTCTCGCTTTTCATTTGTAAGCCCTGTGAATTTCACAGTTATATTTAATTTAATTTATCGGGAAAATGTTTCAGTTCCCCTTCCTTTCAAAATGGTGAAGCCTGGCTTTTCTACTAAAGGCAGGTTAGGTGTCCTCCAGAATAGAGGGATCGAACCCTTGCTGTTATTTGGAACTGAAAGTTGGCTGCTGTGCCTGTGACCTTGTTTGTAGGTGCTCAGTGCTCACTGACACAGACGCATGATCACCTCCAGCAGTTAAAAAAAAAATCGCCTTGTCAAACAGTTGGTTTTTGGGCCAAAAAAAAGTAGAACTTGCAGGACATTAGGTATCTGGTGGTTAAGGAGAGTAGCTTGTAACCTGAAAGTCATTGGTTCGAATCCCAGGAAGGGTCCTTCTGCAAGCTGCTATTAAGCATCTTTGTATTCTGCCTGATATGTTCCAATAAAAAGCAGGACAGATGAATAATGAATAAAAATGTCTAAATAAAACAATCGTGCAATAATTCAAATGCTGCTTACAGTTGTTTTAGAAAGAGAGAAAGTTTTTATAGCCTTTATAAAATTGCCACACTGTCATCTTGATTAGAACCATGACTGTAAAAGAATTATTGGTATTGGTATTTGGTGTACATATCCATCAGGTTTATGTCACATCTGTCAAGTTGTCTTGCAGAGATGACAGCCATGTTTATAGAGCTGTTACTGACAGGTTTTGTCAAGAAGCTGTCATGTTTTGTACATAAAATGTTCCTCATATTCACTTTTATTACCATTGAGCATAAGCCAGAATCATTTGCTGCATCTTTAGAATTTTTAATGTTCCACTCAACATCCATCCATTCATCAACAGACATACGCATAATTGGGGCAGATTTAATGCATTAACTCTTTTTTTTGGGCCTCATTTTGGTAAATTCACTCTCAGACACATTGATCAGACAAGAATGTTCTGCATTCAGAAGGATCAAGCTGTTGTTTACATGTCCAGAATGTCTATCGGTTGTATAATTGTGATACGCCCTTATGAATTTTTAAACGAGTTCTGTTTTCATTGATATGGAGAACAAGAGAGAGATACGATTTCCATGTTAAAAACAGTGATCATGTTACTTAGTTGTAATTTGTGCTGATTTGATCCCAAATGAAATTTCACACACTTGCCAGTAAGGAATTGCATTTCCTCTTCATATCTAATGTGTAAAATGGCTTTGCTGCTAAGGCACCTACATAAACAATCAAACAAATATGTCAACTGTAAGATTTCCAACAATTTTTAGAACCTGTTTAAACTGAAGGTGTAACATTATTATATTTTTATTGATTTTGTCAGATCAGAACTAAGCCCTGGATGAAACATGCATTTAAACTGCACAAAAATGGAGATCTTGACAGCAGTAAATTTTAAAGAACAAGGCTTTCATTTTGGTAGTAAACAGAAAATAATTAGCCTCTTGAGAAAAGCTTCAAGCCCAGTTAAACAATTTAAGTAGCCTACCTTAAAATAATGATTTGGAAAAAGAAATATTTGAAAGGTCGAGGTTCCAAAGTAACACCACAAATTAAAAAAAAAAAAACTAGTGATGTTGATTAAAAGAAGCCCAACAGTATGTTATGGAATTTGAGATCAACACCTTCCTAGATCCAACATTAAAAACTGCTCCTGAGTTGTCTTTCCAGTGCCAGGAACGGCTCTTACAGTTTCTCAGTCGGTGGTGTTGTACCCTCCCAGCTCTATTTTCTATGCAGTTTGCATAGTATCCCTTGTCCTTTTCTATTTTGAAGACATGCTATTCAGGTAGATATTTCAG